GTTAGTCACCGTCACTTCTGTTTCATCACTGTCCTGTAATGTGGTCAAATAAAGATCTGAGGTATTTCAGGTGTCAGGTGTCAGGAACATTTTTCTCACTTTTTTTTCTTTTCTCTCCCGCTCTTGTCCCTCTTCTTCTCTCCTCAAATCAACTCCCCCTGCACTCACTTTGGCCTTGATATCAAATAAAGATGAAGGTGTTGCTCTAATCCACTTTGTTGCCGATGAATCATTTAACAGTGCTAGTCTAAAAAATCCCCAGATTCCAGGTCAGTGCGTCTCACTGCATGTCCTGATGCCAGTGGGGTTTAGTCTGGTACGTCCTGCCTGCTGCAGACTGGCAGGAGCTGTGTCTCTGCTGCTGCTGCTGCTGCTGCTGCTGCTGCTGCTGCTGCTGCTGCTGCTGCTGCTGCCAAGTCCCAAAGCCAAACGCTTTTTAATTCCTGTCCCAGCCAAACTCTGGAGGCACTGAGCTCTGATGTGTGCTGGCACCATTACTGAGGGAATGGAATGTTTTACAGAGAAACGTTTACAGCTCAGTTTATTTCTTTTAAACAAATCTGATCCCAAATCAGTTGGCTTGACACATTCAGTTCAGTTGTCAGTCTTGGTCTGAAATAATATTTGTCTATTTCTACACTGACACAAACAACAGGTATCTTTACTATTTTTTACTCTTTTGTTTTTACTCATTGTAGTCATGCTGATCCCAATACTCAAATAGAATAGAATAATCCTGCTATATTTTTATTGTGAGGACGCAAAGTTTTTATATTACAAAAAATATTTCAAATTGTAATGTGTTCATATTTATTTAGCAAATTATTTATTTTAATCATAATACAATGTCTGAAATGTCAAATATTTGTTTTTTGTTTTTTTAATTGAGAATGAACCCCTAATTTTTTATATGTAATTTATTTCACCAGTAGATGGTGCTAAATTCTACAGAATGTACCCTTAAAGTTACAGTGTGGGTTTTTGGTTGATGTTAAACAGTTGGTTTAGTTCAGGAGTTAGGGTTAGTTCTAAGGTCAGAGAAGGTCTTTAGTAATTCAATTTTCAGTGAAATAATGTTCTCTAATGTCATGGGGACCTGACTCTACCTCTGTATTTCTGTCTCTCTCGCCCTCGCTCTCTCTCTCTGTGTTACGAGAGCGCTACAGCAGCCAGCCAGTAAAAGTAGGTCAGGAGAAAAGGGCTTTGCTAGAAGACGATGTGAACTTGTCACCTTGAATTGCGTTGGAGGCTGTTGAGGCAAGAGAGAAAAGAAGGAGGGAAAAAAGATGTGAGAAAGAGGACAGGAAGATGAAGACAAGTCCAGAAAAATAAGTCGGAGGCCGACAGAGGCTGAGACAGACGTACAGAGTGGGTGAGACAGACGTACAGAGTGGGTGAGAGAGTCAAATTGGGAAGAGAAGAAACGCTACTGTGGACCTTATATAAACAGCACATTCATCAGCCATTGGTTAATTAGCCTTTTACTGGTCATCAAAGACCAGGTCAAAGTTAAAGTTAACATCACCACACAGTGGTGACAGTCAGCTCCTCTGTCTGTTGATCAGTTGATCACACTCACTGTGTCCTGTGCTCTGCTTGTCTCATTTTGTCTCACTGTCACACCTGGTACCCAGGTTATATATATACACCCCTCTCCCCCACTGAGGTTTGTTGGTTCTTTGTCAGACTGTCACTGTGTCAGTGTGTCAGGTCGGATATACTGTACATGTCTCTGCTGCTGCTGCTGCTGCTGCTGCTGCTGCTGCTGCTGCTGCTGCACTCCTCTCTTCTCTTCTGTCTCCGTGTGTTTTCCGTTGGCCGTGATCCATTTGTCTTCTGTCTGTTGTCCAGCCTTCAGTTCTGCTCAGCCAGTTCTTTGTTCAGGGTGTCTCTGTCCTCCCTCTGTCTCTGTTCCTGTCTGACTGAGTTCCATTTCATCCCGTTCCTGATTTGGACTTTGATCACTAATGAGAGAACTGAACTGTCTACTGTCCACTGAGGGCTGTATCTGGGTCCTCGCCCCACACCTCTTGTCAAACACATTTTCTAGCCTCCAAAGATGTCAGTGTATTTCCTTATGTCTGGAGTATTTACAGTTTCCACTACAGGAACAGGTACTAGAACCCTAGAACAATATGTGGACCTGCAGGCATTTCTTCTCCAGCCAACAGGAACTTGGGAACGTGATTTCACAGGATTTGTTCCTCAAAGTAGTTGCTGCCGTAGAGAAAAACTGTCTGTCATCTGGTTGGTCTGAGAACTTTTGTTTATACTTTTGGAGACTAGAGTACTGACCAACATAGTCCATGGACAGTTTTTGCATAGAACAAAAAAAACCTAAATTAAGAGGACCAAGAATTTTTTAACCATTTCTTGCATACAAGACTATCAATTACGAGATCTAGGAAATATTGGGGTCTCTAACCTTTTGTGTTTGTTACGCAAGGTTTGCGTAATTTTGATTGATTTGATTTTGATTTAATCCTGGTTTTCGGTGTTATCCCTATGAAATTCTACGTCTGCAGAATTACTAAGAATTCAGTTCTCTAAAAAAATCGCACACATTTTGTATCTTGTATCTTTTAATTCCAGAACTCCATCTTTTGAATCAAAAGCATACGTTGGCTTTCTATAAACTAGGAATTGTTTGAAACATCCAGTGAGAATAACGTCACCTTGTCTAACCATGTAAATCCAGACATCCAAAGATGTGATCTAATGTGGTCTTTGGTCTAAGAATTTCTTTTCCAAATGATCGTGATAGTGACAAGTAGAAAAAAAAAGTAAAATGTAATTCGAACACGATCACTAAGACTAAGGTTGTCTAGAAGCTGTTGAAAGTCTCTTTTATAATAGGTGTATTTCCAGTCGACCCATTTCCAGCCAATTATCTGTTAGTGACACCATTATATCCTGGTCTGATAAAATCATGTATTGGAAAATATTATCACTTTAAATAAAACCAAATTTCTTCAGAGTAAAAGTGAAGTGACCCGACTGTAACGGTTCAGACACATTCATTTTTCCTCATTTCTTTTCCCACCGGGGAAATGTAAAGTCCAACTCCTCTTCTCTCAGAGGCATTGGCTTTCTGTCAGTGTGCCTCGGTGCTTTTCACTCTAGTGCAAAGACATTGCTAAGAAGTGAAAGCCAAAGAAAATAATCCATAAAAAAAGAAACAAATACAAACCCTGGAAACCCAGAATCACTGATGATGAGAACGGTGTGAGGTGAAGAGGAGGAGAACCGACGGAGCGCAGTGGAGAAAATGAACAGAAAAGCAGACAGACGCTCAACTTATCTCTGGACCTGGATGTTCAGACGTCTGAGTGAGAGAGCGCGTCACTGGAGTCACTCAGTCCTTGTGCACAGATGACTACTTTTTTTCATTTGGCTATGAACATGGTAAATCCATTAACATGAAGGTCAGTGGCTGAGGGACATGAACACAGCAGCTCAGAGACTAAGTTGTCCTTGGTGGACAAATATATAAACTAAATTTTAAGATGCTGTGTTTTTAGGCCGTCAAAGGAGCGGTCGTGCCATTTAGAAAACTGAAAATACAAAAGAGAATCGGAGAAAACGAGCGAAACGTTAGATCTTTGTAGCAGCACGTTAGCCACAGACACCGTGGTGTTGTTTGATCCCTCTTAGACTTTTTTATCTGGATTTATGGCGCAACATAGACTTAAGAAGTAGTACTTTAGTACACGGACCAGTACTCAACGATGAAGTACAGATCCATTAAATGTGTAGATTATTTTAACGTTAATGACAACGGCTGGAATTTCAAACGTGAACAGACTTGTTGACTCAGACCTGGACCTGGAACCAAAGGGATGTGACCTGGACTTGCATTAGGGATTACACACAACACTCATTACCTTGTGATAGATGGATGGAAGGAGATGGACGGATAATAGAATGGATGGACGGATAACAAATGGTGAATGAATGGATGGGTGGATGGATGGGTTATGGATAAATGGAGAGATGAAGGATGGAATGATGAATGGATGAATCAATGGATGGATTGGATTAGAGATTGAGCAGATGGATGGATGACATCATAGACTCAACCATCGAAGTCCAAACTAAGACCCTACGGTTGAATCAAATTCATAACAGTAGTTGTGTTTTTTAATGCCAATGAATGATGGTCCTGTTTTTACATTTCTTCATACATATATATATATAATGATAACAATAATAATAACAATAATAAATTTTATTTCATGGGTGCCTTTCTGTCACCTTACAATGAATACAAAGATAACAATACAACATTAAAAAAAAATAATTTTATTCATCCAGCATTGACCCGTGTTTCATTTTGAACAGTTTTTTTTTTTATCTTAAAAAAATCGAGAAAAAACAGTACACTGAATTTAAGCTTTGCATGAAGATGATTTTTTTTGTTTTTTTTTGTCATTTCAGACCTGAAATGAGGCAAAGAGGCAGGTTGCGACCTGGTGATTAAGACATTGGCCAAAATTCTAAAAAGAAGGAACTCTCTGATGGAAACTCAGTTTGCACAAGTGTTCAGACTTAAATAGAGGATGTGTAGAGAAATAGCTGTGTTGTTTTTACAAGCCTTATTTTAACTCTCTCTTGAAGCTCTCTGACTTTCCCTTCTGTGAGTTCTTCCTCTGTTGATGTTGATGCCCCTGTCAAAAACATCATTAGACATTTACTTCTAAAAATAAAGTGAGAAATCCAGTCACCAAATCTCCTGTCTTCTGTTCTGTGGAAATTACATTTTCAGTTTAAATCTGTTTGAAAATTGAGAACAGAGATAAAAATCCCACAGCATATTTTACACATATATTTGTTTTTGTTTTTTTTAACAGTCCTGTTTCTTAAAAACAGGAAGGAAGATGAAAACCCAGCATCTGAAACAAAGACAGTGAACGCCACCATCATCAGAGGAAAACGAAAATAGTCTGTTTTCTGTGCTGCTTTTGTCTCACGCACATACTGTTGTGGCAAAATGAAACAGAAAATTACAGTAATTTAGGGTAATGGCGATAAAATAGCAGAATGGGAGACAAAGGTTTGGCTGTTTTCTAAAACTCTCAAGACTGAGAAAACACAAAAGTCAGAATGACAGATGAGGAAAACGCACAATGGAGAGACGAAATGAAAGAATGGAAGTGCACAGGGTTGTCATGGAGGTTTTCAAACACCATCTAACGCAAGTTCTGTTTCCTGACCTGGACTGTTTCAGATCTGGATACTTTGAACTGACGGCAAACACAGCATCAACATAAATGACAGAAAGAGGAAGAAAATAGAGGAAGAAATGGAGAAGAAGCTGCAGTCGGCCTGCTCTGCTTTTTTATGTAAGTGGATGATCTAATAAGTCTGTACTCGTGTAGTGATGTCACTGTTACTAAGCAGACCAATTATGTCTCAGTAAGGGAAATGCAATCAGAATGATGTGACGTTTTGATGGGATATGAAATCTATATTCAATTTTGATGAACAAACATGTTCTAGTAAAAGAAAATCTATTTTCTAAAGAGAGGCCATATGGACCAACATACATATGAAAATAATATAAAACAGACGTGTGTTAAATGTCAACTTTCTAGACAAAAGGAAACAAATATTGCATTTTTTCCATAAAAAGATGGAAAGATGCATAAAAGGAATAAAATATTAAACAAAGGTTTCGTCTATGAGTCAAACATCGTAAATCAGTGATGAAAAAAAAAACATCATCGTCATCGTTGTCATTTTGATTCACCACAGTGATTCTCAAACACATCTTTATACGTTCCTAAATAAAATGTAAAAAAGTAACAAACGGTGACGGCAGGAACAAGAGCGAAATCAGTTTGAGAACAGGTCAGGTTTGGGTTGGATTTCTGTTGGTCCTGTTTGCTCTGTCATTGGCCCAGATTATCAATGACAGAGCTATTTTTGTTGGTCAAATGTTTCAAGGAGGCAAAACAACGGTGTAGTGGACGATGAAGTGGTTTTTGGTTGGAGAGAGACGGAAAGAGAACCTTTGAATTAAAACTGTAACTTAAATATATATTTATGGCCTCAGCACTCGCGAAGAACAAGATGTTTGTGTGACATACCATTCAGCCTCTCTGTGAACTGATTTTGGTACCAGTGTTGCATCAGACATGCATTCAGCTCATAGTGCACATTAAATGTGAATTTTAAATAACTTCCAAGATGGAGTTCAATGATTTTTAAGGCAGTGACCGAGGAGAAAAAAAAAAAAAAACATTCCATCAAGAAAAACTGTAAATATTTGCTGGTTGTTTTTTCAGTTTACAGAAAAATAAACAGATTTAATAATTTAAAAGGTCTTAAACCCACCACATCTCAAAATATTGGAGAAAAAAAACAGAGTTCAATCAGTTTAAATATAAATGACTTGTCTTGTCAGAGTTGATGGAGTTGAAACATTAACTTCTTACATGTCCACTCATTAGAAGACTTTGTAGGATAACTTTGAGACTTGACTGGAGTTGTGGAGCTAACTGCTAATCTTTTGTTCAAACTTTAATGATTTTAATGAAAGAAAACCAGTGATACTGATGCTGGTAAAAAGCTACTTTGATCAAAGCCTGAAGACCAGAGTGGAAAAGGACCTCAAAGAAACATGTTGGCCAAGTAACACAGCCGACATCTCTCAGTTCAGGCATTCAGCACAGTGTTTTCCCCCTTCATTCCTAGTTCTATTGCAGGAAGTGCAGAGAGTGGAATCATGTGAATCAATAGGAAAGAACCTGCTACTCCCCATTAATGATGCCGTGTATGTGTGAGCACTAATTAGCCTCCATTAGCTTGGACAAGAGCTGCAGAGAGAGGGGAGCATCAAAATTTAATGAGCCTCTTGAAGCCACTCTGCAAATTTGCTGCGGTTAAAGTGATGCATCCAACTCCTCGTACACATGCACACAATCACACACACTCTGCCGGCTTGTACTTTTTACATAAATAGGTGTGTTAGTCAATACGAGTGATATTAGGAGCGGGGGGGACATCATGTCCACTTAGCAGCGCTGCCTGTTTCTAGCCGTGACTCACCGATGAGATACATTTACTTACAGGAACTTTCACTGTACGTGAGTCACTAAATAAATGAGGACAAATGAGGCAGAGTGGCCTTTACTTCACTGCTCCGGCTACGGCAACAAGCCCTTCTTCCCAGACTTCCTCCAGTTTAACTTTAATCCTTCTCCCCAGACTTCCTCCAGTTTAACTTTAATTTACAGATTACATGCTCCGTCAGGCTACATCTATTTCCAAAGACCTTTTCATCACCCTGGTCTCCGGCAGATTTCAACAGCCTGAGCTGAGACCTCTATTGACTTCTGCATGTGTGCATTAACTGCTTAAAACAGTTCTTTGGAGGGTAAAAGAGTTTAAGGTTGTTTCATGTCGTACAGAATCGTTCAAATTTACAAATAAATGGTCTCAGTAGAGGAAGCAAATGTCCAGAACCCCCCTCCCCCACACAGTTAATGTGTAACGTCTAAGGAAAATGTCCAGACGGGCTTCGACTAATTGAATAACTTCAACAAATCACTTTCAGCCTGTCTCTTTATCAGGGGTCATCACAGCGGGGGTCCACTGGTGATTTGATAGATTTTTTTTACAGCTTCCTGATGCAACACAACCTCACATTTGGGGCATCGGTGTTAGCGAGCCCAGGATAAAATGATAGTCCATGGTTTTATGATATAAACAGGAAACTGAGGCAACAATATGAATGAACCAAATCTGGTTCAGACTGTTGTTTTTCCCCCAGTTCTTTATTAATCCCTTAAGGGAAATTTCTCTCTCCATCTAAACCATCAGTGGAGCCCCCCAGTGATTAACACCGGAAAGACTGGAGCAGTGGGCTGCACTTTGGTGATGCACCAATGTGGGAGTTGGTTTGGTTCTTGCTCCACACACCACTGTCCTGCAGAGGGTGTAGGTGGAACCACAATCCTCCGATTGGTCGTTGTTGTAATGACAATGTTGGACATCAACGTTATGGCAACAGCAGTGACAGCAGCATAACGCATCACAAATGTGATGTGGCTCAACAGTGGAGAAGAATCATCTTTGATGTTCAGTAGACAGATCTGCAGCGATGGCACGGTAATGTCAGCGTGTGCCGAGGCCGAGGACTATTAACTAGGGTTCAAAGGTCAAAGATGGTCCGACCCTCTGCTAATGAGACGTACCTAATAAAGTGGGCAGTTTTTTTATAGCTCCACATAAAATACATTCATTTACGTTTGATTCTCAGTGTTAGAAACAGGTTAAGGAACAGCTGAAGAGGAGGATATTTATAGACACAGCGTTTAACATTTCCATTGTTGTTGGTACTGAGAGTATCACTGGGAACTACAGTACATACAAGTATTTTACCTACTGTAGTATTACTCATGCCTCATGATTTAAAAGAATTGTGATTTTGTTTTAGTACTACCGTAAAATACAAGTGTAAATTACTTCATTTTACAGGTGGATTAAAAAAAAAAACTGAACTGAACAATAAAATAACACTATTGTTCTCAGTTTGAGATTTGACTGAACAATAAAATAACACTATTGTTCTGTGTTCCCTCTGAAGTCTGATTACCCAGGCCTATTTTACTGGCATCTTAACCAGTTTTTGTCAAGTCTTCAGGGTTTTAGGATATTAGATATTTGTTTTTATAATAACCTCAGTTATGACACTGGTATTGACAGACACTCAGGTCGCTTCAAATTGCATCTCAAAAAGTCCATTATAATTGTAACATTTGCCTCCGCTGTGGGAGATTCTGCAGTGTTTGATGAGCGTCTGATAAAACCTTCATACAGAACCCCCCCGCACACACACACACACACACACACTTCAGACAGACAGAGAGTCTGCCTCCTGGGCCACTAATGGACACAGACAGCAGCAGAGATCAATACAAGACACACACACACACACACACACATACAGAGAGAGAGAGAGAGAGAGAGAGAGTGGAAGTGGTCTAACAGCAACACATTAATGGACTGCTCTGGTGGCTTTAGTTCTAAGACAGAAAGAGCCGTTAGACACGGTTCCTCGTGTGTCTGAACACCAACATCAACACATTAAATGACATCTGACATTCTTCAGGTTAGTCTGTGGTTTCAGTCATGTGACCGTTCAGTCCCACGGCAACTGCACTGATAAACATGTTCAGGCTTAAATCATACCTCCATACAGTAAGCCTAAATAACAGACGGGAAACACTTACTTTTTCTGTTTTCTGTAGACTAGTCCGGTCCAGAGTCCGGTCCAGAGTCCGGTCCAGAGTCCGGTCCAGAGTCCGGTCCAGAGTCCGGTCCAGAGTCCGGTCCAGAGTCCGGTCCAGAGTCCGGTCCAGAGTCCGGTCCAGGGCACAGTCGTGTTGCTGGGACCTGGTTTACATGGTCTCGTCTTTCTTCCTAAAATGAATTATTCATGGTCAACAAACAGGATCAAAGTAAATCCAGTAATTGCAGGAATATCATTGTCATTAAAAGCCCAGCAGGGTTCTGGTCAGTTCCCAACAGACTTGTGACATGACTGGACCCAGAACATAGTTCTCAAAATAACTAGAGCTGCTGGGGGTTAAAACTGACGTTCTTACAGGTTTTGGACTAACGTAACAAATTCCTGAGATTATATCGGTTATGGACCATGATTTAGTCTGTGGAACACAGACATAAAACTCTGGAAACTCTGGTCAAGGCTGTATTCACAGGAGAACATCTAATTTAACTACGATGTCACCTTCTTAGCTTGTCACATGATCTGACGGCTACGTCCATGGTACAACACAACAGGCACGACCAGTAAGGATCTCAGCTGCTGAGGAGGTGAAGAGCTGTTCTGAATCTGCTGATTCCTGCATAGCATAGCATAGCATAGCATAGCATAGCATAGCATTGCACAGCATTGCATAGAATAGTCTTTATTTTTAACGAAAGACACAGCAGTACAGCACAAGAAATGAGCTTAGCCACTATAGCTAAGTAACCTATAATAACTGTATAATAAAAGGCAGGAATAAAACTGAACGTGAAACACTAACATTTAAAGATTATTATACCTAAAACAAGTCTTCAATGGCTGAACAAAAATCACAGAAAAAATAGGAAAAATTACCAAAAGGTGGAATGAGCAGAATGAGCTTATTGGAGTGAATGTGTTAAAGTTTTAAATGAAAAGAAAATATGGTTCAAAAGAAGGTGAAGCTCTAACCTTCCCACGTGTCAATAAAAACCCCAGTGCATCAGAGGCAAGAAAGTCAGGAATAAAAAAAAACATTTTTTAGGAGTACATAAATTGTATTAGTAAAGTATTTCGTGGTCTAAAGTATCACCTTAGCAGCTGCTGGGCCATAGCTCTGTCTTTTTTATTGAATCTGACCTGCTCTGTAACAACTTTGGAAGGCTTTAATATCAGTCTTTGACATGGAGAGAAACAGAGCAGACTCACTTCATACATGTCTGGTATTAGTTCACCACAGTGGGCTCACATACCGACCTGCCATCATTTCACTTTCTGCGGCTCAATACTGCTGCTGAACTTTTAGAACCTCCAACTCGTCTTAGACATTTAATCCATCGGCAGAAAAAAAAAACCAACCCAGAAACTCCTAGATTACATTTTGAATAGCTGGCTGCTCCCTAATTCAATCTGTGTAGCGAGGAGACAGAAGCTTGTAGCAGGACGGTGGCTCTGTCTGAGCGGCGATGACA